AACAAGCTACAGTTCAATAAAGAATAAATATTGTTGAACGTATACATGGATAATACTGCATGAGTTACATGTTCTTTCTGGAACAGCAAGAGTCATCTGAAATAAATAACAAATCGTTTTGTTGTATTCATATTTCCATCGTCTCTCGTGACTAGTCAAGTTGCGTTTGTGGTCGATCGCTACATTCGGGATTTGCTAACAACCGCGAAATGTTATCACAACTTTCGGGAGGGGTCGTTCTTTTCGGATTGTTGTGGTACTCAAGTTACCGTTAAAATGCGTTGCTAGTTAAAATTTATGTGTAGCTTTAACTAAATAAACATCACATCTTTCTTTCTTTCAGCTACGAATTTCTTTTGACTTGGTTACCTCGGGGTTCCCCTCCGGGTTACCAGAGGAGGATCTCATCTCGACCACGTGACGAAGGAAAGTTCCATTAGTTTAGCGTGTACAGAGTCAACGTGGACAAAGAGCGAAGTTTGTAGATTTTCTTCACTTTCCCTGTGATCGTATAACTTCCCAGATTTAGTTAGAACTGGATAAAGGTGAGATATAATTTACCTATCACTATAGTCCCTACATGAAGAATCGGTCGCTCGGGCTATTATTGAAATTTTAGGTTTATTTCTTTCCTTGTTTCCTTTATGCTGAGATTCAGTTAATGTCTGTCGGTGTGTGTATAAAGTGAATACTGGCTTCAAACTATAAAGGGATATTTCCACTTGGAAATAATGATTGCTGGCAAAGAATTAGGGAAAAAATATTGGCAACAAAGTGATATAACAAATCATGAGTACTGTCAGAATAACTGAATAGTCCTGGAATAGTCATTGTTTAATACCGTTTCAATCCTTAATGTTTCTTGTAAATTCCAGTTTATATCCCGCTGGGGGTGAGATGCTTGTTGATGCTTGTTCATAATTGATTGTAATCCCAAATTCCTAATCAGTTCGTGATCAATTCATTTCAACCTCCACACAATCCAAAGCGCCTTGCCTCTATTAGGTTCTATTCTGTTATTGGGAGAAGTTCGAGAAAAGCGCAAGTGTCCATGGAAACGCTAGAGATTTAAAACAAAGAATGAAATCAAATTTCACTGCCTCGATATTGTTCAATATTCAGTGGGAGGAACGCTTCAACGATTTTGAATGTGATGAATTCGGGGGGGAGGGTACTGTCATATATGAACTATATAGGTATGTGCCGCTGTGAAGGGTATGGTCTTCAAGCAGTTTACTCTAGGATAGCGTATATAAATCAGAGCGTTTGGGTCTAGAATAGCGTATCATTTTTCACGAAACTGGCCAGTTGGTTCAAGATTTTATCTAGACTAAGGAAACCAGGAATTGCCACTCAAAAATATAAAAAAATCAAATCGGTAAGTTTAAATTTACGCAAATAAGCCCATCCACAGTGTCGATAGATGGGGGGATTTGGGTAGTGTACTCTAGTATAGGGTAGCAAAATTCAGCTAAACTAGCTCTGGTTTAGGCTAAGGGTTCCAGGGTCCCAGCGGTACATCCCTACCCAGAAATTCCCAAAGTACCCCCCGGGGAAGAATTCAAGACTTTTGCCATTATAATAATTTTGATATTCACTCGGTCGCGCTCCAAATCTAAATGTTATCAAGGAATGATGTTGCGCATGGTATCTGTTAGACGACTGACCTGGATAAAGTTCAATTAGGTATGTTACTTATATATACTGAATTTCTCCACTTCATTTTCAAACTAAACGTATCAAACTTCTACAAGAGACTATAGTGCGACATCAATACGCGCTCGTTGGTGGAAAGTATCGCTCACCAATCAATCATGACAATGGCTTTACGAGTTCGTCTTGAGTGATCGTCCGAGTGGGGGTCGTTCTGAAAAGAATTGTTGTTGGTTTACTCGTTATCCTCACCCGGACGATGATCACACAAGACGAACTACTCATACTCCTGAGTTCAAACCATTTACAATGGCTTTACTTGACTTAATTGTCGCATATATCTGCATCTCTCATCACTAAATCAAATCAACTCATTCTATTCATAGTTTCATTTCTGTGCAATGTAATTTATGCTACAAACTTTTCACGGTCTCTTCACAATGATTAACATAATGCCACAACGCTACACTATTGTTTCAGGACACTATTAAAATAAAGCTATAAAGACATTGAATATCATCACAGTTTATGAGCGTTATGTGCGCATTGTGAGTTCGTTATATCATAAAACAATACTATAAATCTTTCTATACAATCACAACGGTCGCAGAGACCGTAGCAATCATATTCAGTAAAGCACTCTTCAGCTCGCCGAGAAAACAGCGTGGATTTCATGCAAGAGATATTTTCGACGCTCAACGTTTCATTACATGTATAAATGCAGAGAGCGATTCAGTTTTTGGATCCCTCATTCGATACCTGCGTTTTCCACGGCTCTAGGAGGCCATTCAAACCCAAGCTTAATCGGTCGTCTAAAACACCTGTTTTGGCATACTCGGTGGTCGCCCTTAGCTATCACTTCATTTAGTTTTAAAAGGCATTGTCGTTCTGCAGTCAAACGAGGTGATTCTTTCAGGAAATTATATGGTAAGGCACAAGTGTGACATAGGGCCTTAATTTTTTTTTTTTTTTTTCAACAGGTGTGGTGTACACTACATATTATCAGTTCATCATCATGGCTGGATGGAAACTGAAAACCATCATTGCAATGATTGTTACAATCTGTGCTATACCACTTATATTTCGCAGACATTCAAAGTGTAACCTATCTTCTGTTATTAATCAGCTGGTAAGAGCCGGTGGCTCTCTAATTCTCCTTTGTACCGAGTGATTCGTGACCTCGTTCCCAGGCTCTCTCTTTTACCAAACCTCTAGAGCGTAAGAGAGAGACTGGCTCTCGCTCCAGGAGGCGACAGGAAGAGAGAGCCTGAGATCGAAGTTAAGTAATGTGAGTAACCATTCTTTTGCCGCCTTTTCACAAAAGTCATGTGCTGATTGACGGTATTTGTTTCGTAGGATAATATTATAAGAATGTAAAATTCAGATATCTTATCATTTCTTTCGGCATAATGCAACTGTACCGCGTGATGGCTCTCAATATACGACAGAAACTGAGAGCGCGCTTCCCTTTCTCCTAGGGCTTACTATCGATCGATAGATGGCTCAAATCGTAGCCATTAAGATCTCAGCTATATTGAATTACGTAAAGTGGTTTTATTAACAGGTCCAACACTAAACCATTATCGAAAACGATTCGGTGACGAATTATAGTCAAATTCAAAATCGTGCAACATCATCACTTTTAACTAACAGGAATTTTAGTTTTAAGCTACAACAAAAGACGCCCGTTTGTTCGTTAGCTGAATTGACTTTTGCCCTTGTCACTGTTTCAGTGCTCAGCTTATGACGAAGGTCACGTGTCAGGACCACTGTGCTCCGATCTTTGTGAACAGAACAACATTCATCTTGG